TTATTGTGCTTTAACAAATTTGACTCAACATTAAAATAATATATTATTATACAGAAAGTAAAACAGGTTCTTAATTATTACTTGCTCAGAGTTAATAATTATTATAGGGTGATAGTTTTAGCAGTGTCTGGGAAGTGCAACTTTCTAAAAGTATTTAAAAAAAAAAAAGAATAAACCATCCAGAGGGGTCCAAAATTAACGCATATAGTTTTGTCCCATCTGGAAACACTTATGCAATTAAAATGAAAACTTTGTCAAATACCTTTCTCCATATTGTTTACTGACTTGATTTTTGGACAACAATGTTAGAAACATTCAGATTTCCACAAAAAGTCTTGGTGAACTCTCATTGCATTATTTGAAAATCATAAGGCAAAATACACATTTTTCTATTCCATGAATTTGGTCTTATTTTATTAAATGTACTTAAAGGTATATTTGTCACAGTAACATGAAGCCTCAGTTACTTTATCTCCATGTGTTTGAGGCTTCTGATAGTCAAAGCCATAAACAGTTTGTTTCAGGTAACAATTGCAAACTTGGAGTGACAAAGTTAAATTCATGTCTATAGACGCTAAGACTTACTCTACAGTCCTCTTACTTCCATAAATAGTTTTACCTTTATTGCCATAATTGATTGATACCTTGACATTTCAACATATTTGAAGATAGTATTGTAACAGTCTTCTCATTCTTCAGCTCTAATTTTCTTTAACTTTTACTCAAGCTTTTAGAGCAAGTGCTTGAAGAACCAAATGTCCCCAAAATTGTACATTGGGCAGCATGATGCAACTTTTAGTGTATAACCTAAATCCATTATGGAAGAGAAGGATAGTTAAAGAGATACTCATTTTTTCAGTAGACAGTTTTTGGTAGGGGCTGGGGATGCATTGGTAATCACAGGCAATAAAACAACTTATTCTCTTGGAGTATATTTCTAATAGAGGCCACAAACAATAAACAAGAAATATTAATAAGTATACATTTATACTTTAGGCAAGTGCTAAGGAGAAAAAATAGTTCAGGAAAACTAATGGAGGGAATCAGAATGGGGAGCAGTTGCTTTCAATTTCAGATAGAGTGAATCAGGAAAACCCTCTGTGAGAAGGTGACCTTTGAATGAAGGACTGGAGGAAGGTAGCAAGTCAACCATGCAGATATCTTTTGGAAGAACATTCTAGGCCCTGGGCGCACCAAGTGCAAAAGACTCTGTGGCTAGACTGTGTTTGATATATTCAAAGAATAGTGTAGGCCAGTTGGGGTAGAATGAGTCAAATAAAGGGGAATATGGGAAACTAGGCACAGGGGTACAGATGTCATAGTATATTGCAGACCTTTGTAAAGATTTTGGTTTTTATTTTTATTTAGATGGATGGATGGATGGATGGAGACATTGGGTGATTTCAGTAATGAATCATATTCTCTGACATATATTTTTAAAAATCTCTCCATTCTGGTGAATGTAGAAGGGGGAGATATGAAGGTTAAAATAAGGAGATCAATTAAGAGGATATATAAAATTTAAAAAAAAAGGAAAAAAAAAACTCTGGTGGCTGGTGGCTCAGCCTAATTTGGTGCAGTTGAGGTGATGAGAAGCTGTGAGAATCAGAAGGCAGAACCTACAAGATCATCTGATGGACTGAATATAGTGTGTGAAGGAGAGGAATCAATGTAACTCCTAAGTTTTTGGCCGGACCTAAGTTTTTGGCCTGGAAAGAATGAAGTTGCTGTTTGATGAAATGGGGAAAACAGAGGGAAGAGCAGATTTGGAAAAGTGAAGAGTGGTGAAACAGGATAAGATTAGGAGCTCAGTTTGGACATAGAATCTTTCATACCTTTTTAAACATTTGAGATTAAATGAATGTTAAAGCTATACTGACATAGAGGATTTAGCTCTTGGTCTGAGTGGTATTATGATAATCATTCAAACCCAAATATTTTAAAGCATTTTTTTTATGTGTTAAGCCCAGCACTGGGTGGTGAGGTATATTAATAAGGTATAAGATTAAAATATCTCAAGGCACATAGTGGTATATAGTTCATGTAATAGGGAATTGAGTTGCATAGTGGAACTCACAAACATGGAACTTTGGAAATAGAAAAACAGTACTTGATCCATGTCACATTGTTAAAACTATACCCATGAGTTTTATTCAACTGGACATCCTCTTGAAGGGGATGTTTTTCTTTTCATGGCTTGGACCCCTGGAAGTTCTAGTAGGCTTATTATAAAGAAGGTATATTGCTGAAACCGGTTTGGCTCAGTGGATAGAGTGTCGGTCTGCGGACTGAAGGGTCCCAGATTTGATTCCGGTTAAGGGCATGTACATTGGTTGCGGGCACATCCCTGGCAGGGGGTGTGCAGGAGGCAGCTGGTGGATGTTTCTCTCTCATCGATGTTTCTAGCTCTCTATCCCCACCCTTCCTCTCTTTAAAAAAAAAAAAAATCAATAAAATATATTTTTAAAAAGAAGGCTGTATTAACAGCTTTTATCAGCATTTCACCTCCATCGTTCTGGCCCTTTGTTACTAATAACATTCTAGCTGAGGGTTGCATTCAGAATGCTGCTATCCCAGTAGAATATACACAAGGTGTTGGTAGTGATGTTTTCTGAGCTAGATAGTCATATCTGAAAGTCTAATTCATCACTAGACTGTTTTGTTTTCGAGGGCTACGTACTTCTTGTACAATGTTTTGGCATCTGGCATTCTTCTGTTAATAATTTCATGGGGGTTTTGAAGGACCTATGAAGGCACTGAGTCAAGTAAATACATTTCTAACAATGCAGTTACTCAGAGAAAAGCAGGAGTTTTGGGTTCCTTTCTCTCTCTCTCTCTCTGTCTCTCTCTCTCTCTCTCTCTCTCTCTCTCTCTCTCTCTCTCTCTCTCTCTCTCTCTCTCTCTCTCTTCTTCCCCCTTGAAGTATCTTTGGTCTTTAGAATACATTTGAGAATGTATTATACCTGCCATTTTCCCCATTATGGAAGACTGCTGTGCTGAAGGTTGGTGCTTGATACTCAGTCACAGCATCTTTCTTTTGAGTCAAAGTGGAGAGCAAATAGGCCTCTGTTCAGGGAGCCAGGTAGCGTGGCCCACTCTCCACTCTCAAACAGCAAAAGTAATTTAAGCTATCAGAGACCCAACACTACTTTAGTGGCATCCCCTGGAGAACAGTGCCATTAAAGCAAAATTTCATGTGGTTTTCTTTCATGACTTGAGCTCCTTCTGAGAAATGTATCTAGAGTTATGCAGGAATATTTCAAAACTGTTTCATTGACAGTGTTCTAGCAGAGTTTTCTCTTTTTTTTTCCTTTTTTTTTTTTAAATCAAATAACAACTGTGAAGTCATATCTGGCAATATGAGAAGTGCTATGATTCAGGTTACAGCACAGTACCTAGGTTGTAAAAAGAATTTTCACATTCAGAATAACCTTATATGAAGTTTGTATAAAACATAAAAGTGTGAAGTTTGAATAAAAACAAGTAAAAATGAAAAACCTGGATATTTATTTAGGGGGAAAGTGACATTGTGGAAGACAACAAAATGAAATATTTTTCATTCTAAATAAAAAATCTATTTTTTTATGATTACACAGTTGAAAAAGATGTCAATTAAAAACACATCTTTTTTGCTTTCTACTAAAATATCCCCCAGGCATGTGTTATTCTTTTAGTATTGAGGCATATATCCATAAAAATGAATGCCAATTATGTATTTTGATAGTTTACATAGATAGTAGTATCATCTGCACAGATGGTTTTTTATTTAAAAATATGTATTATTAGATTTTTTAGAAGTATCCATGTGTGTGACCATATATATATACAGAACATTGATTTCACTACTCTTTAGACTATCATTCTATAAACTATTATTTGTTTATTCATTGTCCTGCTGATGATAGTTAAGTATTTTAAGGCTTTTCAAGAAACCTAAAAAGAAAAGAGGAATTGACAGTCATAGATCATTTCTCACCTATGCTCCAACATCTCAGTGCACTGAGGTGTTGGCCCACTAAAATCCGAAAGCTTCACAGAAGTGGTTTCTAGTGGAGGCCAATTACCATAGGGTAGAAATGTTACCAAAGGGTACAAATAGAGTTTGAACCTTAGAACAAGTACAGAAATGAGGTAGTTGATAGACCAAGGAACATGACAGGTATGGAATTTACAGACTATTTCAATAGAAAAAGAAAATGCAGTTTCATACAGAAGTTTTCATGAGCCTTTACTTTTTTCTTAGCACTACTATCTATCTTATGCTGTTATCGGGTATAGTCACTCTGAATGCTTATATTCCATCTGTGTATAACGGTCTCTATTCATGCAAAACCCTTCAAGGATCAAACTTCCTGATCTCCTTAAGCCATTCAATATGAATTTAAATCCCAGAATATCCTCATTCTTTTAGATCTTCCACTAAATAAATGGTATACATATGTTGGTCATTCACCAGAATTAACTGGGGAACATTATAAAAAGGCATACTTTTTTAAACTCAACATTGGAAACTCTGATCAAGTATTTATAGGACAAAGGTAGGACAGAGGAACTATATTTTTTAGTAAAAATCCCCCAATGATTAAAAAAGCATTTCAGTTGAGATAACCACAGTGTTAAGTGTATAGCTTAATTTGAAGTAAAATATTTTCATAGTAGGAGTTGTCAAAAAATAAGCCCAAAAAGTGATATGGGTTAAAAACAAAAAGCTTTTTAAAAAAATCCTTGGCCAGCTTTAAGTTTCTTTGTTTCAATTAGTATTTATATAATGAAAATGTATTTGGTAAACATTATTGACATCCTTGACTACCAAACTGATGTAGACCTCAGAGAAAATATAAAATATTTTACCTATGGACGAGAAAACCCAAACAATTGTCTGTTCATTGTCTAAGTGGAGAATATTTAGTGAATTATTAAAATTATACCTCAGACCCTTATAACTCTTTACAATCAGTTATGCATAAATGCAACTTATGGCTTTTCTGTTGTGTTTCCAGCACAGTGACGCGGTCCATGACCTTCTTCTGGATGTGATCACGTGGGTTGGAATTTTGCTGTCCCTTGTTTGTCTCCTGATTTGCATCTTCACATTTTGCTTTTTCCGCGGGCTCCAGAGTGACCGTAACACCATTCACAAGAACCTCTGCATCAGCCTCTTTGTAGCAGAGCTGCTCTTCCTGATTGGGATCAACCGAACTGACCAACCAGTAAGCAGCTTCTATTGACATGAGTAAAGGATGTCTCCCCTTCGAGTTATCTCAGATTGATATTAACTGTCAGATCTTATTCAGTTTCCCCTTTTCATACCCCATTGTCATAAAGAAGCAGCGAATGTTATGCATGTATGAGAGTACATTTCTTCAGAAATTCTGTTTATAAACTTATCTTTCTCAAGAATTATCTATTAATAGCTCTGCCCCCTTTTTAAAAAAAAAAACTACAGAGCCGAAACCGGTTTGGCACAGCGGTAGAGCATAGGCCTGCGGACTGAAAGGTCCCGGGTTCGATTCCGGTCAAGGGCATGTACCTTGGTTGCGGGCACATCCCCCCTCTCTCATCGACATTTCTAACTCTCTATCCCTCTCCCTTTCTCTCTGTGTAAAATCAATAAAATATATTTAAAAAAATAATAAAAAATAAATTAAAAAAAACTACAGAGCTGAATAATAAGAAAGTTAAGTAAAATGTTTTGGGGAATGGAGGGGTATCATTTTTAACAAAAATTATTATTTTTTGAAGTTTATTTAAAAACGATGGACATTGTATTAAAAATGGCATGCCTCAATGAGTTTTTCTCATTGACATGTTTTGAAAAATAGTTCACACTGTAGGTAATTTTTATAATATTTAATTCTTCCCAAGTTTCATTTGCTCAAGTTCTGTTTACATCATTAAGTGCCAACTTCCTACTTTACTACTACCTACATTTAATGATATTAAGACATAAAATTAGTGAGGAAGGGAGGGAGGATGGGAAAAAGGAACTGTACTAGCCAGTTGTTCTTGGTAAAATCAAAAAGAAAATATGAATAACAGATAATAGCTAATATATGAAATGGACTTCATGCCCAGTTATAATTTTTTGTGAGCTCCTTGCACATAAGAAAAGTTTGTTTTCATGACTAAAACTGCAAATGAAAAGAAAACTATTTTTTAGAAAACTCAGAATAGGCATAATCAATAATTCATTCACTTAATGTATGGAAAACTTTACAATAAAAATGCAGTTGGACTTGTATTTGTGATTACACATTCATGATTAATGGCTGTAAAGGGGACAATTATGCTAATTATACTTTTTATCGGTTATCATATACAAATGTGACAGCTTTTCCCATAAACACATACATGTGAATAAGCAATCAAACTACACATTGCTTTCACCCCAAAAGTACAGCAGCCTGTTAACAAAAACTAATAGTTGAAGTTCTAACTCTAAAAAGCAAGAAATGGAAAACTCTTTTATTTTCCATAAAGAAATCATTTTACTTCTTCTTAACCTGCACTTCAAACACCATTATTTCTTTTCATTTAGAAACCTTATTCTTGTTACATAAAATATGGTAAATTTCACCAAATGTTGCACACAGAGCAAACCTAATTTCTGACAAAGAGCAGAAATAACAATGATTAAAATGAACCCTTGAGTAGGGTCTAGCTCAGCTCCACTTGTCCGTATGCTTATTGCCGGACAGCTGCCCTCTCCTGCATCCCCCACAGTGTAGGCTCTGCTTTCTCTGTAGCCCTCTGGCATTTGACTGTCTCATCTCCCTCTCCCTGTCACCTCTATAATGCAAAGAAATTGACTCACTTTGTCTCATTCTCAAGGACCATACTCATCATTGAATCCAAACTAATTTGATAATTTCTATAAATGTGTTGCCTCTTTCTAGTAGGAGCTATAGATTTTAGTTAGGATTTTTATAAGAAATGAAGACCTTGCCGGGACCGGTTTGGCTCAGTGGATAGAGCATCGGCTTGGGGACTGAAAGGTCCCAGGTTCGATTCCGGTCAAGGGCATGTGCCTTGGTTGTGGGCACATCCCCAGTAGGGGGTGTGCAAGAGGCAGCTGATCGATGATTCTCTCTCATCGATGTTTCTAACTCTCTGTCCCTCTCAATTCCTCTCTGTGTAAAATCAATAAAAGATATTAAAAAAAAAAAAAGAAATGCAGACCTCCCCTCCCCCAAGTTAAAACTTCCAGAACTCACATAAGAAAATTAATAGATGGCCAGCTGAAACTTGTAGTACCTTACACAATATGCCAAGAGCCCTGGTTGGGTGGCACAGTTGTTTAGAGCTTCCTCCCATACACTAAAAGGTGGCAGCTCCATTTCCCATTGGGGCACATACCAAGGTTGCCATTCGATCCCTGGTCACAGCCCATATGTGAGGCAACAGATCAATGTTTCTCCCTCTCTCAAAAAATCAATAAACATTTCCTTGGATGAGGATTAAAAACAGATAAAGTAAATATGTATTTTTTAAAATAAATAAATAAAAATAAAATATGCCAAGGAATGTTGTTAAAGCAGTTTTGAACTATTGGCTGCCTTTTTTGACCAATAACAAAAAACTGGGAGAAAAAGCACTTGTGGAATATTTTAACCTGACCTAATTTTATGCATGCGTAGCATAAATTTCCCAATGCTGCCATAGATCCTTTCTGAAACAAGACAAGGAAGAAATAAGCTAGAAGTGATAGTAATGAATTAATAATCAATTACAAAATGCTGTAGTTAATTTTATTATTTAATGTTAAGAACCTTTATTATCCTTGTTTTTAGTATTTTTCTAACAATGAATACATTAGTGCGTACACAATTATGGCCAAGAGAAGAAATATCTGAGGTTTATTTTTGAATCGTTAGGCTAATCTCAGCAATAATTATCGGTAGGCTCTTTAGAACATTCCCCTAAATATTATAATCTTTCTTTATTATAATGCTAGGCTGTCGTCCACCAGCCATTAGTAAAATGCTAACTTTAATAGTTTCCAAAGGTAGGTTCTATCTAATGAGGTTTTAATATCAGCATTTTAAGAATCTCACCCAGCTTATTCTTCTGCAGACCTTTCTTTTCACTGCAGTATGGATAAATATTCCTTTTAATTTTATGGCAGTTGCTGACATTTCATTGAGCAGTAATTTGACTCATTCTGTTCCTCGGCCCAGATTGCCTGTGCCGTGTTCGCAGCCCTCTTACACTTCTTCTTCTTGGCCGCCTTCACCTGGATGTTCCTGGAGGGCGTGCAGCTCTACATCATGCTGGTGGAGGTGTTCGAGAGCGAGCACTCCCGCAGGAAGTACTTCTACCTGGTGGGCTACGGCATGCCCGCGCTCATCGTGGCCGTGGCCGCGGCCGTGGACTACAGGAGTTACGGCACGGACAAAGTGTGAGTTGCTGTTTTCTTTCCTTTTTCTTTCCTTGTGAATCTTTTTGGAGTAACAGAATTTTCTTGGAAGCTAAGGCCTTTGTATCAGCTCACAACAATACATGAAGGAACTGGAGAAGCACATGGGGATCATTCAATTCATGGTTTGAATTTTTGTAAAAAAAGAAAAATAGAGCCCTGAGGATCAGTATGATGTGGTTTTCAAACAGCAGGACTTTTTCAAATGTAAGTCATAACCTTGAGTCATTATAAGAAGAGCATTGCTTTAATATTTTTTTTAGAGCATTGAGACATTTGTCAAAGGAAGAACTAGCTCTGATGACCTGTGTTTTCAAAGGACAGTGCTGGCCCTGATATGGATGGCTTCTCTTCTTCCAGGCATATCATTTCTAGTCACAGGAGAGACAATTATGTCATTAACAGAAAGAAAGACTATGGGAGCATAGGGAGTCTACATGTTCAGTATAACTTCAAATTGGTGAGAGATACATGCAGTGCTCAGTGAAAACTCGTTTTGTAATCCACACCAATACAACAGTTGGCATCCTTAGAATGAATGAAAGTTTCAATAGGAAAAAATTAGAAGTGTGACCAAGAAAGATCTCTGATGAATACTCACATTTAGGTCCTGTGTTGAGGATTGAGAATTGAACATAAAAAGAAAAAAGACAACAGGTGACCAGAACCTTAGAAAGAAAACTATAAGATCGGGGTGAGGGAAAATGAGAAGTTTCAAGATGGTGTTTCAAAACCATAGTGTTTTATGTCAAAGATAGCTCAAATAGGATAAGCAGTGAGGAAAAATCATTTGACCTTTGCAGCAACTATTTTGATAAAGTGCTAGAAGCAGAGGACAAATTGGAAGGTGTGAAAAGAGATAAGCTAATAAAGATTAGTCTTCATAGTATTATCTGTACCCTGAAGAAGTTTGATTGAGAAATAGTGAAAATATTAACTCAGGTGATAATAGTAATAAAGAAAGGCTTTTAAAAAATGAATCCCAACCTTATCTAAGGGTGAGAAGCATGCTTATAAGAGGAGATTCCTAGACAAAATATCTTCTGTCTCATTTGTATTCAATATACATACATACACAGGCTGAGTGAAAGGGAAGGTTCTAGAGTGGTAGAAAGGTCTCAGATTGGAAATAAGATGAAGAAAAGCTTGATTTATTACTGAAAGTGTCTTTTCTATTTGCCAAGTCCAAGATAATAATTTTACAGATGAAAACAACTAAGGACCAAATAAGTTAATTGCTTTGCCCATAATTATAGAGCTTGATAGTAGCAAATGTATGACAAAACAAGTCAAGTTTATCTCAACTAAACAAGAATGTTTTGAAATGATAAAATGAACTATTTTTGAGATGAATGTGAAGTAAAGGACACACATGGGGTGGGGCAAATGAAGGTTTACAGTTGTGATTCCATGAAACAGTTTATTCTTGTATTATTATTTATTCATTATTGTATTTTTCATGTGAACAATTGTAAGCCTATGTTTGCCCCACCCTGTAAGGTCAGTTTTGAAGTGGAAGAGCTTTTCTTTTTATCAATGCTGATTTTTGATGAGTGATCAGATGAGGTCATGTTGACAGGAAGATGATTTGAAAGCTTTGAAATCAACACTATAAGAAATGGTTAAGGAGCCAGTTAGACATTAGGGAAATGATTTTTAAGTAGTAGTGGAGGACTGGTGAAGTTAGATGGCATCAATTTTTCTAGAAGTTAATAAGCTAAATTTCATGCCTTTTTACCATCAATCAGCAGCCTGAATATGCTGGTGATAAAGCAGGTTGCTTCTCAGAAGAAAGGATTCTTAAGGTGGGAAGAATGAGAAGAGGACTCCAGACTTATTGGGAGTGTAGTTCATATGGAATATATGTTGATGCAGAGACACCAACAATACCATTAAAAGAAGACCATTTCACTTCTATTGAATCTTCTTCTTAGGTACAGTGACAGCCTATAGAAAGCCATTTGTCTACATGTAACTAATAGCAATTCTTCTTATACATAGTTTTATTGATTTTAGAGAGGAAGGGAGAGGAGAGAGAGAAAGAAACATCGGTGATGAGAGAGAATCATCAATCATCTGCCTCCAGCACACCTCCTACTGGGATGGAGTCCGCAACCTGGGCATGTGCCCTTGACCAGAATCAAACCCCGAATGCTTCAGTCTGCAGACCCAGGCTCTATTCACCGAGCCAAACCAGCAATTCTTTTTTAATCTAACTTTAGATCACAGAATGTTGTGTTTTTTTAAATCACCTTTGTTGATATAATTTACATACTATAAAATTCAATCTTTAATTGTTTTTAGTACATTCAACTGTATTTAGTACATTCAACATTGCTACCTAATTTTAGAATATTTTCATCACTCCCGAAAGAAACCCATTAGCAGTAGATCCCTTTAGGTCATAGAATTTTACATTTTAATGAACAAATTTCCTCTCTAAGGTATTAAATTGAATGATATACTTATTTGTCACCTTATACTACTTCCAATATTGTGTTTAAGCCATTCTTTTGTAGTTACTGATTTGCTCCTCTTTATATTTTATGTTGATTTTTTTTCCTCTTTGGATATTTTCAAATTTTCCTGTTAGGGAACTGACTCAACTTGTTTGCTTTGTGTTTTAGTCATTTATTTTGAGATAGATGTCATTTTCTGGGTAGTAGGAATCTGTCTTTTCTTAGAATCAATAATGTGTGGTCCCTTGTGACTTTGTTAAAGCTTTGGCCATCATTGCTTTAATTTCCTGCGCCATAACTGGAAGCCTTCATTTACTGACATTATGACTGTGTGGGAATAGAGGCTAATTTATTTCCCAGGCACTGATTTAAAACAAGCTTTATTAATAGTTCAGGTTCGTAATTATGATTTTTTTCCCAACCCAAAGAAAAGCAAAACAGATAAAGATAAAAAGGAGGGTAGAGGAAAGAAAAGGGTAGGGAAAACCGCATTCACATTCTGTCATACACAGCCACAGAACACTTAATGCCTCCATTGCACCTTTTAAATAAACTGTCCACACAAGCACCTTTAGAACCCATGGAAAAAGCTGCTTAACTTCTGCCCTGTGGGAATTCACACAGTCCAGTGTCTGGGCATTGCTGCTTTACCCGTTGAGTAAGCAGGTATTGCAAACAGAAACATCACTCAGTCATTTTCATTTACTTGAGGAACAGAAATAGGTGAATCATGTTCCATCAAGAGTTTAATGAAGAATCTTCCCAAAGAAAAATGTAAGCAAGGAGTTTTTACACAGCTTGAAGGCCGTCTGCATATACATCTTTGTTCCTTATTATTAAATATGTCTTGTTGTTCCAGCTTCTGTTCATTTCAACTGGCATTTTTCACGCCCTGCTTATTCATCTTCACATGATTTTGTTTTTTATGTAACTCTGCTCTCTCGAGGACTCAGGATTTGTTTTTGCCAATGTTCCTATGTGCCACATAGAATTTTTATCACAAATATGTATACTTCACAGTCTTAAAAAAGCTGGAATTAGCAAGAATTCAGACACATGTTATCAGTCATTTTCTGTACATTTTTCTTAAGGTTAATTATTTTTATGCCTTGAAAGTCTGTTTCATTTATTTTTGGAATTTTGTTATTACTAATATTTTACTCCTTAGTCTCAACTGCTTAGAATGCATAGAGAAGAAAACTATTCAATATATTACAATAATCTAAATAATAGGTATGTCTCCCCGTTTTCTCCTCTTAATGTACATAATTGTACTTTATTATACTGACAATGAAGTTTTTTTCTCTGAAATCTGTAATAATGACAATAGCTTACATTTCTAAAAAGTAGAAAATCATACCAATGGTAGGGGATAAAATTATTTTTGTAGGTTAAATATTTTTCATAAAGACAGAGGTAACTATCTTATTCCATTTGGCAGATTGGTTAGGATATGGTTCACTCTGAAATGTTGTTAAGGCTGTTAAATTGATCATTATGTACAAAACATGTATTCACATACAAAGAACACATAATGTGATTTTGAGAAGTTGCATAGTTTGCCATCAATTTGCATTGCTTGTAAGAGATTCCTACTATTATTTTCTGCTGTTGATTAATGAAATATTTTTATCTGTACTGATATTATTATTGAGAACCTAACCAGAATAACATCTAATCACAATAATCAGATATTAACAAAGTCACTTTTTTTAAATCCCAAAATGTGGACCACAGATCTAAATCACACTATAATTAATTGGCATTACATTTTATTGGTTTCTGTATCTTTCTTTCACTTATACCGTTATGTATGGTCATTTAGTGATTCCACCTAAAGTAATACTGTGAGAAGACACAGACTGGCACTGATGTTCCAATAATTCAAACAGGACAGGTTTGGAAATTCAGTGCTAAATACTTTGATTTTATGACCTGAACACTATCAGTTCATTTAATTACCTCAATGCAAAATGCAAACAGTTGAATAGCTAATTTTTCTTTAAAGGAAAGAAAATCAAATTTATAGTTTATAGCACTTACTTTGTAATCTAAATATGTAACCGAAAGAGCAGTGATTAATGTGATGGGTAGATTGGACATGGGGTCCATGGAAGGGCATACTAAAAAGAAGTAAAGCCCGGATAATAGCCAAAGAGTTAACATATGGGCTCGAAAATTGGTAAGGGGTTTCTGAAAGATGTCGATTAGGTCATGAACATTTATAATGGATCAGAACATCCTTGAAGACTAAAAGCATAGCCAGGCTCTTAAAAATAATTGAAATCAAATTTTATGATCTGAAATTTATTATAAATCATCTGTTACATCAGATTTGTCTCCCCAGCTCACTAGCTTAAGAACAGCTCTTAAAAAGGTAGCTCTCAATATTTCTTTATTATCATTATCTAAGTAGCTTAGTCATTCGGTAGAAAAGTGATTATTGATTTTTAGAAATACTAGAAAGATCCCTAGCCAAGGAACATTTAACTTACCTGCAAGCTGTATGTGCAGCTTTATTTA